TGGGGTGTGGGAGGGGGTGTGGGCTCTGGGCAGAAGTTTGGGTATGGGGAGGGAACTCTGGGTTGGGGCAGGGGGCTGGGATGTGGGAGTGGGTGCGGGGTTCGGGCTCTGGGAGGGGCAGGGGGATGGCGCTTACCTTGCTTCCAGAGCAACCAGCACACCCCTCTGGCAGCAGCTCCTTGGGAGGTGGGGGGGCGGAGATCTCTGTGTGCCGCTGCCCGCAGGTGCTGCCACCACAGCTCCCATTGCCTGCAGTTCCCTGCCAATGGCAGCTGCGGAGGTGGCGCTCGGGGTGGGAGCAACACATGGAGACACTCGCGCCCCAGGGGCCGCAGGGACATGCCAGGCACTTCCTTGCGTGGCACAGAGGGAGGGAGGCAGCGCGGACAGGGAGCCGCCTTAGCCCTGCTGCGCTGCTGCTGGCACGTCTCGCACCCCGTGGGGGCGGGGGGCAGCGGGTCTCCGAGCACTGCCTGGGGCATGCATGGACGTGCTAGCAGACAGCCACTTACTGGAGCGGCGTGGGGCCACTGGCCACAGCTGCCAGCCGGGACTCGGCGGCAGGTTGTCAGATGAGATTTGTCCTGCATTTTGGGGGCCTCCCTGTCATTGGGGGCCCCGTGCCACCGCACTGTTTGTTTCATGGTAAATCCACCTCTGACGCTGGGGTCTCATTGTGGTAGGTGCTGTGCTAGCTGTGTGTCAAGCTTCCTTCCCCACTCTGAACTCTAGGGTACAGATGTGGGGACCTGCATGAGAACCTCTAAGCTGATTTCTACCAGCTTCGATCTGCTTTGGCTGCCACCACCCAAATTATTTATGAGTTATTTGGGGAACTCTGTCTACCTCTCCCCCAGAATATCTCCCAAGTACTATAACCCTTCCCTGGGTAGCCTTGAGAGACTTCTCCACCAATTCCCTAGTGAACACCAATCCAAACCCTTGGATCTTAAAACAAGGAGAAATTAACCATTCCCCCTCCTTTCCCCACACCAATTCCTGGTGAGTCGAGATCCAACCCCCTTGGATCTTAAAACAAGGAAAAATCAATCAGGTTCTTAAAAAGAAGGCTTTTAATCAAAGAAAGGTAAAAAATCATCTGTAAAATCAGGATGGAAAATAACTTTACAGGGCAATCAGATTCAAAGAGCCCAGAGGAACCCTCTCTAGTCTTAGGTTCAAAGTTACAGCAAACAGAGGTAAACCCTCTAGCAAAAGGAACATTTACAAGTTGAGAAAACAAAGATA